TGAAACCCTGATGATCCGAACCCTAACACTCTTAAACCCTAAACCCTGTCCGCGTCTAGTCTGTCATGTGGATTCCGTGGGGCCTTGCTTTCCTTGTGCGAGAGTGAGTGACAAAACCCCTTTAGCTTCGAAGGGAACCCGGGAACCCTGGAGCAACACAGCTGCGTAGATATTCTCTGACCGCAAAAATCTCAGGTCCCATCATACATCTCCTTACTGGTACCCTTACACAGTAGGACTCCATAGTATCTCTCGTATTCCGGGTATGGTTCCCAAACTCCGAGTTTCAAGGCGTCAGGGCTTGGAGGAGCAGCGTGCGGCGCTCGCCACCCTGAAGGCTTCGTCTTGGCCCTGATTCTAAAAGGCACTACACGAAGAGCTGGAGCGGCACCAAGGCTGATGTAGAGATAGGTAGACACACACACACATATATATATATATATGTATATACATATATATATATATATATATACAGATACCAATGTATATCATGCAGCATGGGACTTTCCCGTGCCTTTGCTTGGGGTGCTCTTAGCAGGGATCCTATTGTGCAACGTCTTCTTATATGTGAGGGTCACCCATAGTCTGAACATATTATGTACTTCCTTGGTGCGTGGCCAATAGCTCAGCTCAGACGGTCCCCCCCCACCCACGGTTGCTTTGGATGCGTGGGGCTTCCGGCTTGGAAGATGTGGCTGCAAGTTGCAGACGGTGGATGGAGACAAACTTGTACTTAGTTCAAGATTTCCTTCTCAGGACAGACTGTTCATATTCCTTTGCCATGTTTAGGGCTACAGGGGTTTGCCAAGGTATTTTAGTGCACGAGATGCTATCGCGTTTGCTTTTGCTGGCAGCGTACATATAACGGCCACGTGATGGCCTGGGCCAACCTTGCCTCTTACGTGAGCTTGACCTCACAAGAAGTTCTGCTCTGGATGCGGCACCTATGGAACCACATGTCCACAGGGACAAGGGAGTTTCAATAGTGATAGTGGTTGTTGCTGTGTCTTTGTCGCAAGATCCACCTTTGCAGGTAGCAAATGGAGCGCTCGTCGAGAGTGCTCGTGAGACTGCGTCCAAGCACAACCAGGTCACGATGGGGGGTCATGATGTTGGAAGGATCAACTTTTGTGACTTCAACTGAAAGCTTTCAAGGGTGTCAATGACTCACGAAATCCAATGCATGTATTGCTACACCCGAGGGCAATCGTCAACGTGTGTGAGTTTGAGCTATGGTACAAACCCTGTCCCTATTTACTAGACGGAGGTGACACTCGGCCCGACTGAAGAACGCCCGAATCCTGCAGTGTCTTGTGTGGCCAGACTGAATTATTGAAACCTCCTTTCGACATGCAGTGGATTTGCATGGCCCGACACCCAGCCGCACACTCCTCCTTGCCACCGATCCAGCCACCTTGAACTCCGCTCATACGTTGATTCATTGCTCCTGCTCAATGTGCATTGCGCCTTGGGCATGTCTCCCGGTGAAACGATAGAGCCCTGTTGCAACATGATCAAGCCCATGATTCTGCGGTCCATTGAATTGTAGAACGGTGCCGGGCATTTTTCGAGGCGGGTTTCTTGCAGGGCGTAGCAGGTTCGGTCAGCAAGCGGTCGTATCAAGCTCTAAACCCTAGGCCCTCATTTCACGGTGAACCCTGGCCGTTCCTGCAAGCACTGACAGGCATCCCAGCTGAGTTTTTATGTTAGTGGGAAGGGTGACAGGGTTCTCTAAGGAACTGGTCCGGCTTAGGGTCTTTAAAATGAGCTTTGCTGTCGATCTCACCTGATTCTCTAATATCAATCGCCCAGGTAATATAGCAGCCGTACCCTAGAGCTTCGGGCTCTGACCCTGAACTGCCTGAGGCGGCTTCTAGCCTGGCGCCACTGGCCCGCAGTCTAGGGGTGCAGGGATGCATGGCAGGGCTCAGCAATTCCAGGACCTGACGCCGAGAGCCCGAACAATCTGAAAAGACTGATGTCCTCAGCCTGCAAGCCCGTAATTGTGTCTGAAGCAGTGGTCCAATAGAATGATGCCCAAAGGACACATCTGAGAGGTCGCAAAGAGGGAAACTTTCAAGAGATGCGAGCAAGCAGCCAACACACCAGCCTCCATATATATATATATATATATATATAGATATATCTATCTATCTTCCGCATCTGAACCATCAGCTCTGCTTTTCCCAGCTTTGATCCCCATGCCTCGTCATTGTTCGAACGGTTCAAGGCGTCATTACATTTAGTGTACTCTCATGAGTTTTTCTCTGTCTCCCTCTCTCTGTCGTGGTGTCAGTCTCTCTGGTGTTGCGAAATGGACAGATGGTGAATATGATGATGCACACGGTACAGACTCATACATACTGGTTTGCACACTTTTAGTTGGTAAACTGATGTTTAAGCAGTTTCCCATGTGTAGAGACAGGATTCCCATGCAATCGGTGAGCTTGTGCACAGATGCAGAGAGACACACACACACACACAGACACACACTCTCTAACTAGTCGGATGTATCATAGGCGGCGGCGCGGTAATATTTCAACAACGGCACTCAGCTTCGCCCGTGTCTTCAGAAATAGCAGCAACCGAGCCAACTAAGGCATGAGCCCCAGCTTCACCTTGAACGAAGTAGTATTAATTGCGCTAGCACTTGCAGTTGCGCAGCAGCAGCAGTAGCAGCAACAGTAAGAGGAGCATTAGGCGTGGAAAGAGTCAGTAGCAGCAGCGGCTACATGTGCAGTTGCAGCCATGTCCTATATAGGACCTCTTGGACCTATAGAACTAGAAGGTAGTGAGGTTGGAGAAGGTGAGGGTACAGAAGCTTAAAGAGATCCTGACCCCGTCAAGTCGAGCGCATGCTCAGGTCTGCCATCGAACAGCGTCGTCTTCAAAACGAGAGTCCCGGGGCCCAGCACGAAACAGGGGCGCTGTTGCGAGTCCGGTGCGAATGCTGCCATGGTTCGCTAGCCCGGTGGAGGACCTGTCATTTCGTCGGGTCGATGTTCAATCTACAATGTCGCTCGTAATTGTGGGAAAGCTGGAAGGAGGACTGACGAAAACGTGACGCCTAGCTTCGGAACGTTTTTTTGTCAGAAGTTCCATATGCACCATGGAAGCCGCCAAACTGTGGCAAAATGAGATTGCGCTTATGAACCTCGCTGTAGTGCATATTTGGAGCATAGAGTACCCGGAAGGTAGCAGTGTGTGTGTGTGTGTGTGTGTGTGCATGTCTCGTATGGGGTATGGTGTTTGGGGTATGGGTGATGCGGTGTATGTAACATATGTCATGAATTCAATGGATGTGAGGTACGTAGTTTGTACAATGTGTGTTACTGTATTTAACATAATACATATAACATATATGTAATGCATGACTGCATGAATGCATGCGAATGTATGAATGTATGCCGACATGTACGTATGTTCGTATTTAGGTAGGTATGTAATTAGCCACATTGACATAGGTGGGCTAGATATGGAGGTATGTATGTTGGTCGTATATACATATATATATATATATATACATAGATATATGCAAGCATGTATGCCATACACGCCATATGTGTATGTATGTGTATATATATATATATATACATATAAATAAATATATATATATATATATACATGTGAGAGACAGTGTGTGGTGTGCATGTTTTGTAAGAAACGTTTGTGTTCATGGCATTCGGTGCTTGACAAGCGTGCAGTGTGTAGCTATTTGTGCACTCGTGCATGTAGACATGTGGGCTTGCATGTATGTGTTTGTTTTGTGAGTTTTCGTAGGGTCGACCCGACATTCAGAAATCTTACATGCTACTCTCCTTGCTAATGTCTTTTTTTGTTTAGTGGGAGTTCTATCAAGGCGGCGCTGCTGGACTCCGGGCGGCCGAAACGGCTTTGCGGGACTTGCAGGCAACAATTATAGTAGCGTGTGCAACTCGTAGCTGCAGCTTTGTGGTTTCTTACGCGTAGTCTAGCACTCACCGTGATGACTTATATTATTAAGCTCGTCAAGTGGGTGTTTTGTGGGGGGTACGACGTAGGAAGGCGCAGGCTTCCAGATCTAAAAATTCAAGCCCCCCCCCCCCCCCCGTGGCCGGCTTAAATAGGGTTTATTTGGAAGCTGTCACTCGGGTTTTGGAGTAGTCACAGGCTCTCCAAGGAAGCCCCAGCCCCGGCTCCAGTCCTGGCCCCAGGCTCGGCCCCAGTCCCGACACCAGTCTCACAGGGAGGGGCGCAAATTCGTGGATGACTTTGTAATCTTCACTACAACCTGCGTATAATACATGGATAGGCAACTCGCTTCCAGACGACCCATGTATCCGACTTGGCCGGTGAGAGAGCACTATTCCATGCATCATGTCGGCTCACACGAAAAAAAACCACCCGGAATACGAAACCTACAGAGGGGCGGCCCAGACAAGCGTACAAAAGTGTGGCAGGCGCAGCCAAAGAGTGTGCTTCGACCTTTCCCAGCGATCATGTGGCAGGAGAAAAACCAAACACGAATTCGTGTCCAGTTGTTTTGGACGTCCTAGGGGACCATCAGTGCTATCATCATCGATATCAACATCGTTATCACCATCGCAGTCACTATCGATAGCGCCATCATTTTGACCATTCTCGTCATCATCGTTATCATCAGCGTCAGCAATCTGCTGAGCAGTCGACTTTTTGTGCGCAAGGAAAAGCCGGCCTGAATTTATTCTGTGGACCTGGGCGGCTAAGCTAGTATTGCAGCAGAATGCGAGAACACTAGTGGGGCCGATGACTTTCAAGGTCGCGGCCAGTTTGGCGAGGTTTGTGAATGGAAAGTGCAAAAGGTCTCGGCACAGTCACCTTTACCAGATTGCCATGTCGTCATCATTGCTATTGTGAGTACTATCATCATCGTCATCATCATCGTTATCATCATCGCCATCTCCCAGTGAAAGATATCACATCGGAAGAAGCCAGTCGCGGATGTTTTCGTAGCCTTTCATGCAGAAGTCCGCGGTGCACGACTACACCTCCTTGGACCGGCGACCGGGGCGAATCACCGGACTGAGGTTCCTCAGTCGAAACGGTGTTCGCCGGGTTGGCTTGCTTCGCGGCAAGCGCGGAGCCTTCGGCTTGCTGCTGGAAGCACGAGCCTCGGGCAAGGAAGCAGTCGCTTTGTCTCGAAGTGCGACACGGACACGTCGTCCTTGCTTCAAAACATGCAGAGCAGCTCTTGCCGGCGTGGCACCGGGAGCCTTAAGCTGCCGACACCACGTCCGCCAGGCAGCTTGCGGTAGCATGAAACGAACATTAGCTTTCATTGCCCGTGATGCTATCTCGGACTGATCTGCTTGCCTCTGGAGAGGCCTGTACAAGGCCTGATTGTGCGTGAACAGTTTCACAAAGTGAAACAAATTCAGCTTCATCCCGAAAGTGGATTTGTGCAAAGCCGCCTCGGGGTGATTAGCAGACACAGGAAGCATGCCCTGCGTCGGAAAGGCACATGTTCGTTGCAGCCGAGCAGCAGTCTCTCGGAACCAATGATTGATCTCGTGATGGAGACTTTCATTGGAGGTGGTGCCGCTTGGTAGGAGCGTTAGTTCACCTGGATGTACGGCATGTCGGTGGCGAGTATCGTTGAACAACCACTGGACCTTGACTGCGGACGCCACGTTGATGATGAGGCGATGCAGCGAAGCACCAGAGTAAGTAGTTTTACTGACCTCGTCAGCGAACAGCGACAGATGGGCCACGCATGCTTCGAGGAAGTCAATCTCCGTCAGCCACGGCGTGTCTGGATTCAACTTCTCCAGCAAGTTGTGCGCCTGAGCGTGTGACATGTCCGGTTTCTCCAGTCGGAGTCGCATGCAGCGAACGTCCACACTGGCAGGTGGCAGCGACTGCCCAGTGTAGAACGGTCCCCAGGCTGCTGCTGTGCGGGCCGCATCTCGCTTGCGGAACTTGTCCATGATGACGGCGAGCCACCGACTGCCATGAGTTTTCTTGTTACTCATGTTCTGCTGGTACACCATGATAATATGCATGGCGTCCAGGGCAATGCTCTCCAGATGGGGCAACACTTGTCTGAGGACGCGGAACATCTCCGGTGACGGATTATCAGAAGCCACATGCTGCACCTGGGTCCTCTGCTGAAGAGAAAGCTCGTTTGCCAAGGCATCGGCGATGACACTAGCCTTCTCGGAGCGAACCATGGCAACCAAAAGAGCGGCGCCAGTTCGACCTCGGCAGGTCAAGGTGCGATACGCAGCCTCGGCTTCTGGAATGGCAGCATCATCCCGCAGTGATTGCGAGGAGTGGAAATTTGCCTGGCCGATGATTTTGAGATTCACCTTGAAGGTCGCATCAATGCTGAGGTAGCGAAACTCATTATGGTCACGACACTCTTGAAGCAGGGCATCACGGTACTTCAGGACAGGCGGGGCATTCATCAAGTCCTCGAATACGTTGATCCAGAATGAATTCGTTGACCGCGGAAGCAAAGAGGAGAGTTCACCATCGTGGCGCTTGCAGCACCGCAGAAAGGAGCAACAGATTTTATGCAGCGAGCCGTTCGCTGCTGCTGCGGCTTCCAAAAATGCACACGCAAAGGCATGCGTGTAGTAAAGGTTGCCGACGCGTCTCAAGTCATGCCTCTTTTTGATGGTATGCAAGGCCATGATGATGGGACCGTCCTTGTCAAACACGTACCTCACGAAGCTGTCGATCTCGACGACCTTCGTGGGCACGGGAGGTTTGACATCCAAGCGCATGACAGCTGCGGCTCTGCTAAGAAAGTACGGCTGCATCTCCTTCCCCTTGATCGCGTCCTGGTCATACATCGACACGGCAATTCTCAGTTGCTTGGTGCCGGAGGGGCAGTAGCGCTTGGCTGTCGTGTGTTGGGAGGTGAGATGCTGCCGCAGGTGTGCGCGCTTGCTAAAACGGCGCCACGGGCAGCACGGACATGTGGTTGTGGAGAAGGTCGTGCTGGCCTGGCAGTTGACATTGTCCAGAGCTTCCTCAATCTCGCGCTTCATGAAATTCAGCAGCTCGCCACCGACATCGACTTCCCCTTCGTTCCGAGGGCCCTGTCCTTGCACCGCGTCTGCTTGTGCCGCAGGTCGCTTCTTGGACGTCCCCCCAGAAGACGACCCTGCAAGCAGGTCGAGAAAGCCGGACGTGCCATCATCTAGTTCTGGCGACTTTGAGACTGCGTCGAAGCAAAAAGTCTCCTTCAGCCCGTGGAAGGCTTCCAGTAGGTCCATCAGATCGAACATGGAGCCTTCGAAGACGCGGCCACCGCGCATAAGCCCGATCATGTTATTAGGGAGCATCTTGACACCCATGCAGATGGAGGACTCCGGAAGTTCGAGATGAAGAAGGAAGTCGGAGGCAGCCTCAGTCGTGAAAGCGGATCGCGGCACCAGGTGGAGGTCGCCGCAGCCATTCCAGTCGGAGTACTGCCGAAGGTGACGAGTCTCGGCTTTGGTGTTGGCCGGAGACTCCTCCCGCAGACGCAGAATGATTTGCTTCACGTCCGCACCCAAGAAAACCATTGCGGCAGGAATAGAATTGGAAACAGCCGTCAAGGTTTCTTCATACATGCGCAATTGGGAGCTGACCTGACTTGGCTTCAATCTGCTGTCCAGCAGCGTATCCAAAGATGGAACGGTCTTGTCCTTCAGCACAACCTTGAAGTTCGTATTCTTTAGCACAGTCTCTTCAAGAAGAAAAACCATGTTTTTGCCGGTAGTTTCTTCCAGTGACTGCACCAAGGATCTTGCCACGAGAATGCCGTCGAAGTGACACGAAACATGTTCTGCGGCCTCGCCTTGCCGAACGAAACAAGTCATCGACTGGAGGATTAGGTCTTCGGCGGCAGTCCACCAGAGGGCGAATATGCTTGCTTCTGGCCACTGAGTCCTGGAACCGCGACGCAACTGCAGGTAGTGACTTTGCAGTTGCGAGCAAGCGAGCCAGCGCAGACGGCGGCTTTCAGTCGAAAGTGCTGTCAAAAATGCCAGGCCTTGCTTTGGGATGTCCTTGAAGTTCGACGGCATCGCTCCATTGGCGACCTCCGTGAGAATCTTCTTGCCGACCGATTCGGTGCACTTCAGCTGATCACTGCAAACACGGCTGCGATTCGTGGCAATGGCACGCCATGAGGGAATTTCCAGGCCTGTCGGCTGTACCATGTCGCATAGTTGGACGACGATGTTGAACATGGCTGAGGCGATGTGGTAGTCAGCTGTCTGAGGGCAGCAGATGGCTCGTGTGAGTCGAGACATACTCTGAGCACCGACTTCTGTGACATATCGGCGGCAGCGGATGTCCCGGGGATAGAAGTACTGACGCTGTATTTTCACATATAGATTCTCGTCTGTTGAATCCGCCTCCTGAGCCGCCTCCAGCACCTCCCGATGCAAGGATGTCTGTCTGTCTAATGCCTGGATAAGGTCCTCCCAGATGCTGGAATCGGCAGCATCGACGTCTGCGTTTCGCTTGGGAGCTCCTTTCTTTTTGTTGGGCTGCTGCGCCGCATCTTTCTTCTTGTAATTCTCAGCGAGCGTCCTGATGTTCAAACTTCGCGAGGAGTCTGCTGCCAGGCGAGAGCGAACGCCGGACACATGGTATGCCTCTATGAAGGTCATCTCTGTGTCATGAACCAGAGACACCACCGCGTCAAGTGACTTCTCGCAGAAGTAGACCGGCAGGTAAAGAGTCGTCTGGCCAACCTTAGGCAGAACTGTAGGTGCAGCTACAAGTCGGCCGCTCGCCAGCATCTTGTCGATCACCTGCTGGGCATCACAGCGGTTGAAATTGAAGACGAACTTGGCCTTGGCACTTTTCAGCTGTGCAGCGGTGAACCAGTCTTTACGCTCTGCGACCAGCCAGTCCCGCAATTGACTAACGGATTCCTCTTGCTCCGCTTTGTGCTTGGCGACGGTGGCCTGGACGGCGGCTGCCTGCACCTCCGCAGCCTTGACCTCTGCAGAAGGCTCTGCGACAGCAGACGCGGCTGCTTTCTTGGAAAGGGCGTCCAAGACCTCACGCACAGGGTCGGCATCCGGAGTTTCATTTGGCGTTAAGCCACAGCTGCGCCGGACGGTCGCCAGCGTCAAGCCGCAGTCCCCGCCACGGACAACGTACTTCTCCAGGACATCGCGGCATTGCTCCGCTGTCCGATTCCTGGCATAGTTCCACACGCACCGCAGTGTTACCAGGCAAGCCGGGTTGTCCCGTAGGAAATCTTTGAGTGTGGGGTCCCGGGGGAAAATTCCGTGCGACGCCGCCAGCTCCTCTCTTCCTGCGATGCGAGCAGGATCGACGAAGCTGCTTTTGTAGGCACAGACCGCTGTTCTTCTGAGAATAGAGTTGATGGTCTCATCGGTGACACCGCCGAACCTCGCCGGATCAGATAGAAGACAACGAAAGAGTTACACAAACCTCATGCTACAACTGCAACGTAAACACTCCGAATCAATATCATGTATATTTGACGAGCAACTTTGGTGCTGTGTTGAGTTCGAAGCGTTTCCAGCCGCGCAACTCGACCAATGCCGTGTGGATGGCATAAGGCAAACGTTCCGGCACTTTGTCGGCAGAGATATGTTTCTTGTATATGTCCTCTCTCATGGAGCGCCGACTGCCTTGCACACTTTCCTGCCCCGTGACAACGATCTTGCCAACAATGTTCGCCGCCTGTTTCCGCATCTCCTGTCCAGCTAGAATCTAGTAGGCTGATGTATCCTAGTGTTATGCAACGGTCTACACAACCGACTTCCGTTTTCCGTAAGAATACCAGCAGTTGTTCACTCACTGGCCTCGTCCACAAAGTAGATGTTCATGTCCAGGCAAGTGTGGTACTCTCCGAGGATCGCCTCCAAATGTGCCGTCTGTAGGCTCTGTCCGACTCCACCGGAACCGATGCCCCAGAATGCACGGTCTACATTTTCGCCACGCAGAGCTAGTACGAAGGAAGCCATGAAGACCTGGAATGCTTCCGCGTTGGCCCAGTATGTGGTCTTCCAGAAGAGCTCGACTCGTTTCTTGACATCCTCTGCAACGGGATCCAGCATTCTGTGTGGCAGGTAGACGTACATGTTGTTGCGTGGTGTCTTGCGAACTGGATGCAAGCCGTCTGCGGTGAATGCGAAGGCTGCATCGGTCGTGCAGAAACCTCCCGCTGGCTTGACGTCCTGAGAACACCACGCGATGTAGTACTTGATGATGCTGTCATTGAGGAGAGAAGTCTGCCTCAGAGTTCGGACTGAGAAACTTTTAGAAGCTGCAAAATAAGATTACGAGTCTGCATCCAGTAATGCTTATTTACTGAAGTGTTTCGGAAACAAGCAGCAATTTGACGTACAGCTTGCCGATGGTGTTGGCCATGGCCACTGTCCAATGGACCTTGTCATCGCCCGGATCTTGAACGTCGTCGACCTCCCCCGGATTGCTTCCTTTGGACTTCGGGGGCATACGGCAGATGGCAGCCTTCTCGCACGCAGTCAGAAGGATGTCGGATTGGAGCGAGTGTCTCTCCAATAGTTCTTGGGAAGCCTTTAAAATTCCATCGTGATCCCGGAAGACATTCCCGTGAAAGGACGCATAAAGGCCCTCCAGCTGGACGAGAAACTTCTTGCATCGTGCCAGTGTGCCCTCGGGAATGACGCCCTTGTAGGCGTTCCAGTGCCCGTGCTCCGAATAGAAGAAGCACTGCCCACCATGGGCTCGGACGTGTCTCCCAGACCCCTCAACAAGCTCGAGAAACAAAACTTCCTCTCGCCGACTGACATCGAGGAGTCGTAAGCGATGTACGGCCAGTGCTCCTTGGACCACGTGTCTGAAGGTGGAGGACCACGAAGAACTGGGGCCATAGTCTGCAATAGTGCGTTCCAGCTCACTCACTTCACGAAGAATGCAGCCTTCGGTAGCCGGAATGTCAGACGCCGCTGACTCAGCAGGAACGGAGGAGATGTCAAAATCCGTCTGCATGATTTGACTCAAGGTGCTCTCCAAAGCGTCCGTCCCAGCGGGCTCTTCGGCTTCCATGAGCCCAGCCCCACCGGCATCCGGAGCTCTGGCATCGGCGCCGTCCGCTGTTCTCTGTCGCTTTGGACCTGGCTCGGCCGCGCCGTCTGCCTCTGCGGGCGCAGGTAGATCTGCATAAGTGTCCATCTCCTGTTCCAGCATTTGTGAGAATGACGGGTTTTGGGAGTCTGGAGGCTGGCTGCCGCCGCGAAGATCTTCCCGAGTCGAGGAAGTCAGCCGCACACAAGACCTCAGATCATCTCGCCGCCAAGACATGAGTCTGTCAACCCGATTTCTGAGAATAGAGTTGATGGTCTCATCGGTGACACCGCCGAACCTCGCCGGATCAGATAGAAGACAACGAAAGAGTTACACAAACCTCATGCTACAACTGCAACGTAAACACTCCGAGTCAATATCATGTATATTTGACGAGCAACTTTGGTGCTGTGTTGAGTTCGAAGCGTTTCCAGCCGCGCAACTCGACCAATGCCGTCTGGATGGCATAAGGCAAACGTTCCGGCACTTTGTTGGCAGAAATATGTTTCTTGTATATGTCCTCTCTCCTGGAGCGCCGACTGCCTTGCACACTTTCCTGCCCCGTGACAACGATCTTGTCAACAATGTTCGCCGCCTGTTTCCGCATCTCCTGTCCAGCTAGAACCTAGTAGGCTGATGTATCCTAGTGTTATGCAACGGTCTACACAACCGACTTCCGTTTTCCTTAAGAATACCAGCAGTTGTTCACTCACTGGCCTCGTCCACAAAGTAGATGTTCATGTCCAGGCAAGCGTGGTACTCTCCGAGGATCGCCTCCAAATGTGCCGTCTGTAGGCTCTGTCCGACTCCGCCGGAACCGATGCCCCAGAATGCACGGTCTACATTTTCGCCACGCGGAGCTAGTACGAAGGAAGCCATGAAGACCTGGACTGCTTCCGCGTTGGCCCAGTATGTGGTCTTCCAGAAGAGCTCGACTCGTTTCCTGACATCCTCTGCAACGGGATCCAGCATTCTGCGTGGCAGGTAGACGTACATGTTGTTGCGTGCCACTTCACGAAGAATGCAGCCTTCGGTAGCCGGAACGTCAGACGCCGCTGACTCAGCAGGAACGGAGGGGATATCAAAATCCGTCTGCATGATCTGACTGAAGGTGCTCTCCAAAGCGTCCGTCCCAGCGGGCTCTTCGGCTTCCATGAGCCTAGCCCCACCGGCGTCCAGAGCTCTGACATCGGCGCCGTCCGCTGTTTTCTGTCGCTCTGGACCTGGCTCGGCCACGCCGTCTGCCTCTGCGGGCGCAGGTAGATCTGCATAAGTGTCCATCTCCTGTTCCATCATTTGTGACAATGACGGGTTTTGGGAGTCTGGAGGCTGGCTGCCGCCGCGAAGATCTTCCCGAGTCGAGGAAGTCAGCCGCACACAAGACCTCAGATCATCTCGCCGCCAAGACATGAGTCTGTCAACCCGATCCGAGAGGATGGGTACGGGAATGACCAAGGACTCAAACCCGTTGTCTGGGTGAAGACACACAATTCGCAGGTCCGTTGCAGCTACATCGTAGTATTGTCGAAGGATCCAAGCGTAGATGTTGAGCTGAATGCGGTAGTGCCAGACCACGGAGTCCTCTGTGTCCTCGAGTGGAAAGTGCAGTTTGCGACCAAAGCTGCAATCCTTGGACGCCAGCTGCTTCGTCCGCTTCCAGTCCAGAAGACAGATCTCCGAGCCACGCTTCGCCACAGCGTCGATGGAGCCGGCCAGATCCTCAGCCTCCGCGTAGATGGTCCACTCCGTTCGATAAATGGTCCATCCCTCTGAGGTGAAGGCACGCAGAAACTTCAGAAAAGTGCACATCTCTGTTGACTGCAAGGGTACACTGCCGCCATTCAGCAAGCACTCGCAAAGAGCATGTGTCCAGGTTCCCTGCGACGCGGCCTTCCTGCGATTGTTGTCCCACATGCCCAGAATCTGCGTGTCTGTCAAAGTAACGATCTCCGCTAGATGACGATACCCAGGATGTGTCCACACGAGGTTCCGAAGTCGGCAGCAGATGGCTTCGACATCCACGTCGGAGGATTCCACTAGATGAGACAGCACCGCGTCCGCGGGTCCCTCCGCTCGCAAGGCTCGTCGAAGTTCCGAGACAGCGTTCGTAGACAGATAGTCGGCACGTGGCCAATTGCGACCGCCGCGCATGGCTCGCACGGCTTCCACAGCGTTGAAGCTCCGGGCAAGCTTGTGAATAAGACCCGTCACAGACATAGAAACCTTCCGGCCCCGCCAGGTGTATGTGTGATCCGCCTCGCGAAACTCCAAATGCGTGTCCCGCGGGTGCGTGTGCACAATGGCCAAAATATCCAGAATTTCCAGTCCTTCAAGACGTTCCACATTGAAAGAAGACGGACTTGCTGCGCAAATAGAGCGGGGACCAGTCCACTGCCTTAGACTTATCGGCAGGAAAGTGTCCAGCCCGAAGTCAAGCAAGGAGCCGGTGCCGGTCGGCCGGTCCATGTGTGTTGCCACTGAGAAGAAAACACTGTCACCCAGCTGGCCACGCGCTTCCTGGACTCGCTGCATCAAATGGACATCTGATACAGCCTCCTGAGCTTCCATGGCCTGTTGCTCATTGGAGAAGATCATTGAGAGCCTGTCTTCGACATCGACCAGACGATGGCAGAGTTGTTCGAATCTGAGCTCATCTCCTTGGAAACACAGATACTGTTTGCGCAGTGCCTGTAGACGGCGTTTCTCGATCTGCAAGCGGACGGCCGAGGTCACCTGCACCGAAGTCCCACCGAGACGGTCTTCGAGATAGTATTCGGGAGCACATGCCAGACAGAGATCTGCGTTCGCGATTCCATGGTTCTGACAGAACCAATATTCGCACTCACTGCAGCAGGCCAGGCTTTCACAGGCACAGTACGCACATCCCGGATATCCGAACGACGTCATGTACTTGAATGGGAGAGCTTCGACTTGAAAGCTTTCTATCTGAGCACTGGAAGGTGTAATGCAGACTGCGGCACTTCTTACCCAAGGCTCGATGCTCTGCTCCGCAGTCAGAAGGATGGTCGCGATGTCATGACCGTCCACAGCGAACTCCAGGAAGTTGCTGTCCCAGTGAAATGCGAAGGTGTGCCCTGAGTTCCTTCCCTCCTTCAGATGCTGCGGCATGGGGATGGCAACCCGTTCGCCATTGGCCAGGCGGAATTGCATCTCCCCTGTTGCAGTAAAGGGTCTCCGAAGCACCATGCACGTGCTGCTTTCTGGGGTACTACGGAAGTTTGAGCGTCGCAATGCCAAGACCAGAAAGTTCGTATCCCATGGCAGCCGCACACGCATGGAACTTCGATGACAGGTTTGGTGCTCCGACTTCCAGTACACGATGCGTGTGGAGCTCTGCGGGCTTCCCATAGGAGCGACCAGGCTCGGCATGTGTTCTCCTTGTCCGTGTAGCCAGAGTTTCGTCCCGAGAGACGACAGAGCATGAAGTACGGAAGGAGAGCAGGAGACTGTCCTGATGCCTTCTTCCCACGCTTGCAAAAGGTTACCAAAGAAGGCAGATTGGCAGAAACTAGCACGAAGCCGCACTTTCAATTCCAGATCCACGTCATGCCAAAAGCGGCCTTGCTGAACGCACTCCCTGAGTTGCGTGCTGCAGCTAGCCAGACACAGAAAGTCCTGGAGGCTTCCGAGGAATGACACCGGCGGAGGAGACACGCTCAACCAGTCTGTCGTTCCACCACGCAGGTCCAGCGCTGACAGAAAGGCTTTAGTGCCGAGCTCCGTCGGCAGAAAGCAGCTGTTGCTCGGGTTGTGATGATCGTCTGCCGAATTCTCTTCGCCGAACATGGACACCGTCACATGCGCCCATTGCTCCACATCGCAGTCCTGCAGGGATAGCATCCCATGACGGTGTCCGTCGAGGAAAACTTCCAGCCTGTGATTGTACCACTGTACCTGCAACAGGCGGTCGGCCGTGCACTGTGGGATGCTAGTGAGGAATTTATCGCTCGGGCGACCAAGGCGACTGTGCCCCAATTCAGTCATCACAGTTTCGGCAAAGGGCGCCCCCATGTCACACCAACAGCGATCCCCGATGGGGGAGCAGCCTCCAATTGAAACCACAACACGCCGTGGCTGGTCGGTGCTGCTTAGGCGGAAGTAGACCAGCGATAGTACGGGCTGCAGCATGCTCCACTTCCGGATGAGTGAGCCGCAGACCTTCTTCGCCGTGACGTGCACTGGCCATTCCACAGCCACGATGCGAGAACCGCCGATTGCGGCGGCCAGCAAGGACTTCCGATCCCCCAGCCAGTTCCTGTCCACGGCAGCCGCAGGCAGGACGCCCGCGTGTCTATCGAGCCAGACGTCCGAAGACGTAACCAGGTCGCGTGTCTCGCGGCAGGCACGCTCGAAGTGCACGGCCGTGCGAAGATCTCCTAGTCTGCAAACGAGCTCTTTCGAGAGATGCACGGGAAGACCTTGCAAGCTCCCACCAGATAAGTCCGATCCGCCGCCCAAGCTGTCCTGAATGACGAAGACTCCGGTGCACTCGGTCGGATCAATGACCCAGACAGCCATCTCGTTGCAGTAGACAAGCGGGGAGTGTGTGCGGTGCGTGCACGCTTTCTTCCATGCGTGTCGCTTATTACTTTGGTTGACTTCCAGCACACCTTCTTTCTTCCTCAGGGCGACGAAGTGCTCTCCGATGGTCAACACAAACTGGCCATCTGCGACCGCCGAGATCTGCCTCCATGTTGTGCGAGCGACTGCTTTCCTTACAATGCATTTGCATGGACTACGCCTGCTTACAGGTGCGTGAACGAGCTGCACAACATCTGTCTGTCCAGCGGCCCGAACGGCTCCAGAAAGGTGCTGCCGTCTCGGATCGCCCAGAAAGGGCCGTCGCTCGCATACTCCAGCTTGTAGCCGTGGGCACGCAACGTGTCGATGAGGCACACGTCCTTGAACTTCTCTTCCCCGCCTAGTCGGCAGGTGGGACACGACTGCTCTCTTGAGTTTCTCGTCTTTTTGTGTAACAAGGGAAAGCTTCTGCCGAGTGACACGTCGACGGAGCGTCGTATCGGTGCGACTTCTTCCTCGTGACCATACCTCTAGTTTCATGGACGAAGCCAGAATTCTATGCCTGTTTTTTTTTCAGATAAGATTCTCGATCGATGCTTGGCTCGTCGCCAGCGCAGTGCCAGCACATTTCGTGTCAGAGACTTCGGACATGAGTCCTCCTGCCATGCAAGATTTGTTGGATGCATGCTTGCTTGATGCTTGCAGACTGCACATGAAGCACGTGTTCATGCTGCCTCCGCTGCCAAAAGCTGGGCACTGCTTGGGCGTACCTCGTCGACAGGTGCAGACAAACATTCGGCTTGGAAACTCAGTTACTGACATAAGCAACAAGGACATGAGAATCCTGCGCTCCGCTATCATGTTTGGCCTGCTTCTGGCAGCATCCAATGCTCGTCCCTCGGCCAGTGACTGACACGATATCAGACGGAGAAACAGGAGTCAAACGGCAGCCACTGCGGCAGAGAAGCAGTTGTAGGTGCGCTCCCCCTGATGCTTCCTTGTCACGAAGCGGTTCCCTAATCCAGAATTAGATGAAGGTTCGAAATACAACACGACTATGCCACCACTGTTTCTCTGCTGCTTACATCCTTGCAGAGGCAGTGACGTCTGCTCAGCAGAAATGTCACCGGCCGGATCAGCGGCCATGTTCCTTAGTCGACAATTGGCCTTACAGCCGGCGTGAGGTACAACCGTGTCTCCAATCTTCGCCTACTGCCTGAACGTTTTCAAAAGCAGTCGCGACTGCTCAGCCGCGACGTCCTCGGTCGGATCAGCGGCCAACTTCCTTAGTCAGCGCGGCGTGCAGCTTGTGGCATGACTGTGTCCCCGACGTGTGTCTACTGTCTGCATCTTTGCAAAAGCAGCGACGATGTGTTCGCAGTAATATCATCGGCTGGACACCCAGCCTTGCTCCTCGGTCAAAATTTGGACTTGCAGTCGGCGTGCGGTATAACCGCGTCTCCAATCTTCGCCTACTGCCTGCACGTTTTCAAAACCAGTCACGACTGCTCAGCCGCGACGTCCTCGGTTGGATCAGCGGCCGGCTTCCTTGGTCAGCGCGGCGTGCAGCTTGTGGCATGACCCTGTCCCTGACGTGTGTCTACTGTCTACATCTTTGCAAGAGCAGTGACGATGGGCTCGCAGTAACATCATCGGCTGGACACCCAGCCTTGCTCCTTGGTCAAGATTTGGATTTGCAGCCGGCATGTAGAACAACTGGGGTGCTAGTATTCACATATTGTCCGCATAATTGCGAAGATAGTGACGTCTGCTCATCGGCCAAGTCCTTGGCCAGATCAGTGGCCTGCTCCCTTAGTTAGCAAGTGGATCTGCAGCCGTCGTGCAGCACGGCGCACAGCCGCGTCTCCCGTCATCCTCTACTGACTGCATCTTTGCGGAGGCAGTGACGACTGCTCAGCTTCAACATCCTCCGCCGGGCCAGCGACCTCGTTCCTTGGCCAGGAATTCGAGCTTCTCCCAACATGCACCCCAACTACGTCTCCAAACTTTGCATATTGTCTGCATCTTATGTGCAAAGGCAGGGACGACTGGTCAACAGCAATGTCCTCGGCCGGACTTGCGGCCTTGGACCTGCAGACTGTTCGAGTGGGTCTGACAGTACGAAGACGTCACGCTTCCAAGTCTCAAGCCTGCTTGTAAAAACCGGGGTTGCACAGTCTGCACGGCAGTTCGTGTCGTTCTGCCTTTGCACGGGTGCTGACTTCACCAGAAGCATTGCCTTTCGTTACTCACATGTGCAAATGTGCCCAGAACACCGAACAGATCGTCCTTCCATCTTCCTACTGCACCGGTAGCTCCCAGTTAGCGATCCCCCCGATCACTGTACGTATCACTGTCACACCCAAGGTCCCAGCTTGGTTTTTCGCCACTTGCCGCAACCGTCCAACATCCCTGCAGCATGTCTTCATGTTTCCCGCATTGCGAGAACGCACGCTCTACCCGTTCTACGTGCCTGTGGTAACACCAGTGACAAGTCTCTCACGCTCGCTCTCCTGCTGTAAAGTCAAGCAGCACACGGCCGGCTTCTTGGCTGACGGCTGTCCTCGGTAGCAGAACTAAGTCTTTTCCTTGGCGGGCCGCATTTCTGCTGCTGTCCAAACTACCCCATCATCGGAGGATCAAGATATGCATGGCAGTCCTCCTGCATCGACGGCAGTTGGCGGCATTTTCGTCCGCACCCTGGTCGAGATCCGGATTACCATGTTTTCGATAAACATGCATTGCCACCGATTGACTTGTAGAGGCATGTCACAAGCACGAGCTTCCTACAGAAGGCCTGACGACACGCCAGCCTTGATCGATGAGGCCTCGTCGACCATGGCTTCACATGTTCTCGCAGGCGACTGTGCTCCTACTGATTAACTTGAAGGAAGAGGCGATAATCTTCCTCCGGTTCCACCGGAGTCCCGAGAAACCTGAGCTTGTCGTGTTCGGTTCAGTTTCGACCCGTGCTCTCACACGCAGCCCCGATGGCGATTGTTGGAGGATCAAGAGACTCCAAGTCCTCATCCGCAAACCAAGGGAACTGGGAGAAGCGAGCCATGATCCTTACTCAGCACCCCTATCAATCCAATCCATCCTTCCCTTGCGCCACGTTCATTTTGTCTTGTGCTCAGCTACAGACTGCTGGGATTCGGAAGAATGCAGTTGATCGGATAGCACCTGGGTACGCAGAACTTGCCATTCGCGACATTTGCTCAGTTACGACATTCACGTGGACTACAACACCGATATCATGTACTGTGACATGTCGCTCTGACCTGCAGATAAGCCGCAACAAAGTTGCGGAAAGTCGAAGGCTCGCGGAGTTTCGAGCCATACATCACGGCAGAAGCTGACGCTTACGTTTCGCATGGCAGTCTAGCTGTCGTAGATCGGTGATGCAACGGGAGCATGTCGACTGTTTCTGCATCTCCTCTAGTCATATCGGCAGCACGCTGAGCCTCGGGCCTCTTCATTGCGGAAGGCGTCTAGACTTTCCCCTGCAGGTATGCTGTCGCGATCGGATGCGACACGCACAGCCGACCCCAATCCACTATGTTCTTCGTCAAAGAGCACGCCATCTTACAGGTCCCGTAGAGACAAACTGTTTTTTTTAAAGCGCAGGGATCTGTGTAGGTCTCGTCTGCTCCGACCGTTACAAAGCGCTGCGGGGGTTTGCGGCTTGGTGTATTAACTACAGAAACCCAATGTGCTCTATCTCTGGCAACGAAAGAGACAGACTGTATGTTTATATATTAGACGTATGAGACCCACGATATTCTTAGGCCCCTCCTGGATCCAGCGTGACCGACCCTATTCGTCGGGTCGGATATGCTCGCTGCTGGGTTTTGTCGTTCTTCTCTAGAGAGCCTGTCTGACCCTGGCTGATTTGGGCTACATGTCGAGCCGTCCAAGCTCGGGATTTACGCAGGCAAATGGCGAAAGAACCTGACCTCCCTGCCCCATAAGCCCGCCGAATGTAAGCCATGTAATTTTTCAAGGGATTCCTTCAGGGTTCCTTCCTGTACATATGTACAGATGATACTACTCCTAAGGACCCCGTACCCTAGTTGCGGTCTCGGGCTATCGCCATGCAGTTGGTGTTTGCTATGCTTACATGCATGCGCTTCACTGCTACACGACAGCACCACCCGATCGGCCTGCCACTCCATCTCCGGGCCGGTTCACCTGCCACAAGGCTCTTGTGAGCTCTGGTCCACACTTGCAGAACGTGCTCCGTTCGCCAATCCAAGCAGACGCTCCTTTTATAGATGCCCTCGCATCTAGGACTTACGGGAGTACGGCGCCCAGGCACACACGCCGACGCTGGGTCGGTGCGACTTCGTCGCGTTTTGAAACCCCGCCGTAGCTGCTCGCAGGCCTCGCAGTGTCGCGGGTCTTCCTTAGGAAACCCCGGATACAGCTGGCCGCTCGCATCAGGCTTACCCTTATGATTAGGAGCGGGCTCGCCAGGAGGGATGAAAGGTCTGCGTTCGCGGACTTTTCCTCCCTTCGGCTTGCCCTCTGCACTTTCTGTCTTAGCCGCCTTCGGCGGGCCAGAAGCTCGTCTCCCAGTACCGGGGTTGGGGGTAGGTGGGGGTGGGCTGGATTTGGGGGGCGGTGCCTTGGCCACCTCCTTCCCACCTCCTCGCGACTCACCCGAGACCTTCGCCTTGCTGCTTCCGTCCGGTGCCTTGTCTTCCTTCTCGTCCTCACTTGAGCTTCCAGGCAGCACAGGAGAACCAGACGAGAAAGAAGACGACCGACTTTCTTCCATCTCGTCTAACTCCTGCTCCTTCTTCTTTATGGAGACCCGGAGACTCCGCAGTTTTTTATGATCTTCACGGATGGCACCTTTCTTTTGCAGATACTTAGCCTTCAGGACCCCCAGGCCAAGGCGAACCGATGAGCCAGTCGAAGGCATTGCGAGCAAGGAAATTTCGGATGGCAGGCAAGAGCTCAGGTTCTCGAGCCGACCCAAATTGCGTTGTTCCGTCGCTCTGCTACCAATGACATCGAGCACGAATGCAGCAGCACGACTAACAACTCATGCATGCAAGCGTCCTCGCCTTCGCGATTGCGACGAAAACGATCGCAGAGTCGGCGGCGTATCCTGACGGCAGTGCCGGACATGTGTTTCGAAGCGCTTGTTCGGAGAATCTTTGGTTCATAACTCAGTGTGCAGCATCGCATGAGTGTTGTAGCATGTTGCATATAACAAGTCGCGACAAGGCTGTTACAGATAACAAAGCCCCCGTCAGTGCTATACAATATCATGCTGAAGGGTGAGATGCAGATGATGAAGATGATGAAGATGATGAAGATGATGAAGATGAAAAAGATGATGAAGATGAAAAAGATGATGAAGATGAAAAAGATGATGAAGATGAAGAAGATGATGAAGATGAAGAAGATGATGAAGATGAAGAATATGATGAAGATGATGAAGATGAAGAAGATGATGGAGATGAAGAAGATGATGAAGATGAAGAAGATGAAGAAGATGATGAAGATGATGAAGATGA